AGCATCATAGAATGCCAATTTAATAGAAGAAAGTATTCTTGCATTGAGGGAGTACTTGAGTGGAGGCCCAATGTCCTTCTGCTACCTTAATACTTGACCTATAAATATAGGCACATAGATCTATTTCCCCAACCTCATATATAAATATATTTGCATATGTACATGTCTTTATCTAGACCACTATAAATGCCCTTTGCCTCCCAGCTGTTTCCTCTAATCCCATTATCATGCTCAGTACCCACCAGGGTTTCAGCAATTCCTCTTTGTTACATTACCCTTAATCATGCCTCCCACACCCACCTCGCCATCAATTTGGATCACTTGTTGTTCCCTTGTCCCTGGGTTTGTTAACACCACTTCCTTTCCTCCCACCTACCCTTCTCCCATGTCCCCCGGGAACTGTTGGTCCCATTTTCAAAGCATTCTCTTCCCACTAGAGCCCCTGATATCAGCTCCCCATTTCTTCCACCTCCCTCCCTCGCCGGCCTTCCCTCCCAACCCCTTGATAGGTTAGAGATTATTATTTTCATATCTTACATCGTCCTCCATCAACCCCACCACTTTTCTGTTGTACATCCCTCTGGGAGGGGGTTATAGATTGATCCTTGTGATTGATTCCCCCTTTCTCCCCACACCCTCCCCTAATCCTCCTGGTATCTCTAATCTCATTGTTGACCCTGAGGGGTTTATCTATCCTGGATTCCATGTGTTGTGGGCTCTTATCTGTAGCAGTGTGCATGTTCTGGTCTAATCTGATCTGTAAGGTAGAATTGAGGTCATGAAAATGGGGTGAAGGTAGCACCAAAGAACTACAGGAAAGTAGTGTGTTTCATCCGTGCTATACTGCATCCAGACTGGCTCATCTCTTCCCTGTGACCCCCCTGTGAAGGGATGTCCAATTGTCTACAAATGGGCATTGGGTCTTCACTCCATGCCCCGCCCCATTCACTTTGGGTATGGTTTTGTTCTGGGTCTTAGATGCCTAATACCTGATCCCATGGACACCTCATGATCACACAGGCTGGTGTGCTTCTTCCATGTGGGTTTTGTTATTTCTTAGCTAGATGGCCGCTTGTTTATCTTCAGGCCTTTAAGACCCCAGATACTACATCTTTTGATAACTGGGCACCATCAGTTTTCTTCACATTTGCTTACGCACCTATTTTGTCTTCAGCGATCGTGTTGGGAAGGTGAGCATCAGAGTGCTGGATTGTTAGAACAAAGTGTTCTTGTGTTAAGGGAGTACTTGAGTCAAGGCCCAATGTTCATCTGCAACCCTAATTCTTAAGATATAGATATGAGTACATAGTTCTATTGCCTTCTCATTTTACATACATACAGGCATGTACATATGTAAATATATCTTTTCATATATTTACATATGTACATGCCTGTATTTAGGCCTCTATAAATGTCCTTTACCTCCTAGTCCTTTATTTCCTTTTACTTTCCTCTTGCCCCACCATCATGCTCAGCCTTCATTCGGGTTTAGTGATTCCTTGCTGCTATATTGCCCTTGATTAAGCCCCACCAGAAATCCCTATGACTTTCCTTCCATTGATTTTAGTTCACTTGTTGTTCCCTTGTCCCTGGGTTGATCTCCCAACTCCACTTCCTTACTCCCACCTCCCCTTTTCTTGTAGTCCCCCTGGAAACATTGATCCCATTCTTTTCATCTCCGAATTATTTATCCCACCTATCTTATCTAGAAAGACATGCAGATAAATTAATAAGTGCAAAAATCAGGCAAAGCCAAATAAAACAACAAAGGAAGTCAAGACCAACAAAACAATAAAAGAATAACAACAAAAAGAAAGCCACAGATAAAAATGGAAAAGCCTATAAATAGTTGAAGGTCTGTTTGTTGGCCTTTACAAGTGCTTTCCAGTCGAGTCTGATGGGGTACCACACTGTCTACAAAGTCTATTTTTGGCATTCCCCAGGAGTTTCATCACTCTGCTCCCCTTGCTGCCTTTAGTGTTTCATCCCAGCGTGATGGGGTAAGATTTGCACAATTCCTGCACTGTGTCTCCAGTGTTGTCCCCCGCAGCACTATGGTTTAGTGAGGGATGTCATGTCTCGTGGTGGGGCTGGCCCTATGGTCTTCTCTGTGCCTTGACTGCTCTGAGCATGAATATCATCCTCGGGACCTGGTGTAAGCCGCCTTTTCTAGACCCAAGCTGAAAGCTGGGAACCCATTAAACAGCCGATGAGCATATTCTCTGGATGCAAAAAGGGATGGAGACATTTGAACACTCTCTAGCTCCAGCAGTTCAAACAGGAGAGAGCCCATAACCTGCCCATTAAGGTATTTTATACTTATTTTTTACTAATTTCCAACAAGATTCTTTAACTCATAGCAGGTAAGGTGCAGGAAACTAGCAAGAAGAATTCACTCTTTTATCAATATGCATTGCACACTTACTTTTTGCCAGACACTGTTCTGAGGGCTGGGCTACAAGGTGAACATCCCAACAAGGTCCTTGTCTTCACTGAGCTGCCTCCCTCCTTCAGAACCCTAGTCCACATGCATCAGAATCAGATCTATGTTTAGATCCTGGCCCAAGCCACATACTACGCCTATTACAGATTATACACAGAGTAATCCAATAGGACCAAGTAGACGTAGAAGTGCCCCATAAAGTTTCCAAAACTGAAATCCTTATGGAAGAACACTGTATACACACACATTCTGCCCACCTCCCCACCCCCACCCACTGCAAATTAGCTGGTAGG